TTTTTTTTATTTATATTGAAAAAGAAATGAACGAATGACACACGACACATTTGACATTTTTTGATGATTAAAATGTTTGTGTTTCATATGAACTTTGCACAAGAAGTGGTTTAACAAAGACTTTTAGTGTCACAGTCATGATTTAGTCTTCATTTTTCATTGAATTGTTTCCAATTGATTTTAAATATATCGTATTGAATCGAAAGTGCACAGTATCGAGATGTGTATCGTATCGGCGACGTTCTGAATGATTCCCAACCCACTTCTAACTAAACCATTTCTGTAACTACATTTCCTCACAAACCCTTTATATCTTTATATCTTCCCTGTTGATACTTTGCACCGATACCGCGCTTGCTTGGGGTGTTCTAAATGTATATCTATGGTGAAATTTTCAGCATTTACCATGTTTTTTTCATTTTAATTTGCAAAATACAGCATGCACACAGACATTAGACAGGACCAGTCAATAAGTACAAAACAGTAAAGTGTGTAGACGTACTCTAGGTTAGACTTTTTAAAATATATTTTATTTTATATAGTTAATCACTATGGAAACAGTTGTAATTTTTCATAATTTTGTAATCCATGGGTACACAGCAAAAAGTGGAGTGTTAAAATTGACTCTCACAGAATCAATTTTAACATTTTCTCAGGGTTTATATGAGTCCAGTCTGTTCAGATAGGTGATACATATGCAGTTGTTGGCATCTCTATTGACAAAATATGGTTGATTTCAATAGGATGTGCATTAAGCCAATACAATACATACATCCATTTTTTTTTTTTGTTATGTTGATGTGCCCAGCATCTGTCCAGTAAAAACAAGCTGCTCATTTGACGTGTATTTTAACAATGTAGATGTAGGATGCACATTACTAATACATAACGCAAACTGAAAAAACAAAAACAGTGATTTCCCCTTTGCAGACAGGCTAATATTTCTTTGTTCAGCCCTAAACCTCCTTAGACCTGCCATCATTTTGAATATATGCTAATACAGGGCCATTGGTTGTCTGTTTTTATTCGAGCTAATACAATATTTGTGTCACATTATCCGGGAAGAGCTGCACGTACACACCCCAAACCCAAGGGCTCAGGTGGCCACATAAGAGCCATGTGCCCCGACCTCACACACACACACACACACACACACACACACACACACACACACACACACACACACACACACACACACACACACACACACACACACACACACACACACACACACACACACACACACTGGTTCATCAACATCCTGCTCATCTACTGAAGGGACAGCCCCGTAAACAAACACACACACAAACACACACAGACAAACACATGAATCCAATGTTCAAATCTGTGCTAGGGAGAGGCCACAGTTTGTACCTGAAGAATGTGTACAACATGTGGAACCAGCATAGAGACAATATACGCACACACACACCCATGCACACTAGGGTTGTGCAAAAATATCGAAATATTGTGTCGTTTAATGTAATGATACAGTGTCAATATCATGGGCTGCTGTATTGATATATTGCCACGAGTATTTTTTGGTATATTTTTGGCATATACTTTTATATTTTTTTTAGTTACTTTTTTGTGCACATAGAAAGATGTCACAAAAAAAAAAATAAAAAAAAAAAAAAAAAAATAATGTAATGTGAACATTTTCTAATGTAATGTGAACATTTTCTCCTTCCCCAACCCTCCTTTCCATTATAAAAAGTGTAGGTTTGGTCTCAGCTTTTGGTGGGACATTATCAGCCCCCCTTCCCCCATGAAACCAACTGATAGTTTACTTGATTAACAGATGAATTATATAATATTGTTTACTTTTCGTATGATGCACAATGCAAAAACCAAACAGCACATCTTCATAAGAAAGGGTAAAATGGGATGAGAAGTTGTGTATATATTTTATGAATTCTTTCAGGTCCAGCAGGTCCAAAGTAAGTGAGAGGTGCTTTAATTTTTCAGTTCACAAAATGTACAGTTTGTGTCCATTGTCCTTCTAAGATGACTCTTTAGCGGATAACAGCAATGTAGAAGTTTGTAGCAGATTTCCCTTTGCTTGTTGGTGATGACATATTTGTGAGGTCATGTTCGTACATTTTTCCATGGAATATTGTCAGTAGAGTTCGGCTGCTAAGAGCGCACGAGTAAGGCTCCATTTGAGAGGTGCACTTGTGGTGATAGTCGCTCTTTTAATAAGACAAGTTTAACTGAAGATGAAGCCAAGTAAGTTCCTTTTGTTTTTCAGTCTGGTGTGCAGCGTCTTCACTCACGCCTGCTCAAGCCGACATCTTCAGGTGCGGCCCTGTCCTGCCACTTCCCCAGTTTAGGCTCCTGGCTCCACTAATGACATCACTCTGCTACAGCCAATGAAATACCGGCAGGAGTAACCCTGTCTTCATATATCACTGAATACATCTCAGAACGTCTAATAAACAAAATTTGAACTAAAACGTGTTCAATTAATACTATTGGGTTTGCAAAATTTTCGTAATAAATTAATATTTTTGTTTATTAAAATAAAATGGCAAATATTGGTAGGGACTATTTTGTCTTCCCCACATATTGGTTGTGACATGTTCCTACCGCCCCTTTGCAAACCTACGCCCTTGCTCCAGAGAAAGGCAAGACAAATAACAGTACATAGATAATAAGAAGATCTATGTATTGATAAGAGCCATATCAAATCGATTTGAAATATATCGTATCAAATCGAGCTGTATCAAGATGTGTATCGTATCGTGGCCTATGTATCAAGGTATGTATTGTATCGGTAATTTCTTAAAAAATACCCAGTCCTAATACACACATAGACACACACTTACATGAATCCAGTGTTCAAATCTGTGCGAGTGAGAGGCCACAGCTAATTATATTTGTACCTGATGAATGCGTACGACATGTAGAACCAACGTGGAGACCATACGTCATCCACAAATCGAATCTTGAAGATGCATGTAGCTTAAACCACGATTAGGCTTTATAAATGTGTGCTGTGATTTTCAAAAGTGGCAGATAGGCATATTAGCAACCACAGCTATTAACCAAGACCATTTTAGCAAGAGGCAGCAGACTGATGATAATTGGGATGGGTGTAGTGTGCGTAAATTAAAATATGAAATATGAAGAGAGTCTTGTAATTACAGTTATTTTACTGAGCAACGCAACAGAAAAGACAAAATATACCATTAAAATATGAGGTAGTACAGATTCTACAGACTTTAATAAGTAGAAAAACCCAAGCACCAGCAATTAATATAAAGTTTATTGAAGTATTTTTGAGAATAAATCATCTAAAATCAAACCTGCAGTTGCCTTTATACATCTGCCCTTAGAGAACAGGATAGAAACAGTGAAGTTAACATTGAAGGCATACAAATATATAATATTATTATAAACAATACAAGTACAGGACAATCACATAAGGAGTTTAATGGATATTTTTAAAATAATATGGTTTGTCTGTACTGCAATCAGACCAAATTAGAGAGAGAGAGAAGGATTAATTCCACAGTTGTCTACATCAAATCAGAGCAAATATAAAATACAATTATTAAACACAAATATACTCAAAATCATTATGTATTTATTAAGTACATTTTGAATTGGCCATGAATATAGTATTTCATTCAGTTCTTGAATCTGGTCAAACATAGAAATGAAGAGGTTCAACATCTGTGAATTTACCTTTTAGATATTTCATGGCGAAAATGAATGTAAACAATAGGAAAAAGTGTCCCTTGTCCCGCGTATGGGAGTATGACATCGTCACATTATAGAATCTGAATCGGTAACCATAACTGTAAATATCTGCAAAACTTTTATTAACGTGGCAGAGGAATGGAAAGCTTTGTGAGGTAATAGCCAGGTCAAAGAACAAGACCTGTGGAAAACTTCAGTCATTACAGCTTGAATCTCAGAGCAAAAGACATGAAGAAGAACGACAGAAAACCCAAGCATCAATACATGAGGTTTACAGCTCAGGCTCCACCAACACGCTCCGCCTCTCTACACCCTGAAGAGAGCCCCCTAGTGGAGGACTTGGGACTGCACCTTCAGGAGGTCCAAAGAGCTTGCCAAGAACAGCTCTATGTCAATGCTAAAAAGAGATTGAGACTGAAGGAGCTGGAAAAAGAGGTCCAGCAGAAAGAAGCCCTTGAGAAGTAAGTGAAGGAGCTACAGAAACAGCTGAGTGATGCTAAAGAGGATAAGGAGATAATCGTGGAGTTTAGGCAAAAACCACCAAAACAGAGACAGACGGTTAATGAATACTGTAATGTATGTGCAAGGTCTTTAAGCGGAGAACTCAACTCTCCTGAGAGCAGCAGACGATTACCCTAAGGAAAGAGGCTGAGGTGGAGCACTTCAAAGAACAACTGAAGACGAAGAAAGCCAACAGTCACTACTACAGCTGAGAAGTCTTTGAAGAGCTCGAGTAAACCCGTGACACCATAGAGAAACAGGAGGTAGCCATGAAGAAAAGGACCCAGAAAACAGAGAGGTATAAGGACAAGAAAAGGGCACTTAGGGCTGAGGCTGAGAGCAAGGACAAGATCTTCTGATGAGCACACAACAGGAGCTCTGAAGGAACAGGAGCAGAAGCTGGCCCTGCAGAGGCAGCTCTTCTCGCTGGCTCTCCCAGCTGCAGCAGACCAAGGCCATAGCGTAGGGGCTCCAAGCCGAGGTAGACAAGAAGAACAAGAAGAAGAGAAGGTGGTTTAAGTGGCAGCAGTAAGCCACACTCCAGACTGAACACAGCCCCGTCTCAACCTGTGTCTGTGGATCTCAACTTGTTTCTACTACAAATACAGGTTCTGCATTCTAAATAAACAAAATCAAATTAGTCTAAATGAAGTTATTGGATTAAATATGAGAGAAAGATTGAATATAAAATGTATTACTGCATTACATTCAACAGTAGTTAGACTGAAAATATAATTACAACAAAAATATGTTTAAACATAACTAAACAACTCAATATTACACTGTCCCTAAAATATAAACATCATTAGAATTCACAATTTTGTTATGAAACGACTTACAAATTGCACAAAAGTCTAGTTTTCAGTGGGTACAGTCTGAAAAATATATATATTTAATTAAGATTCCCCTTATAATTCATTTAAGCTTTACTGGCAGACACATCACACCAAAAACCCAACGTGAAAGTAAATTTACATCATTTTTTGCTTCATGTACATAATTTTTTGCTTCATATTGTTTTATCACAAAACTGAAAAACATTAAATGTAGTATTTTCCCCGTCATTCAGTTACAGTACATAGCATCCACATTAAACCTGTCTATTTCTATGTTAGCAGCTTTAGTAGCTTCCACCTCCAACCATCACAAATCCAACATGACGGCGTGTTTAGATCCTTCAGACTCCTGTGAGACTCTCGGTCATGTGCTCCACCACACACAGGGGCCTCTGTCCGCGCTGGGCCTGTCTGGACCTCTGCTGCAGCACGAAAAGGCGTTTGGCGGCCGCTCGGTATTTCCTCGACATCAGGTTATAGACCACGGGGTTGATGGACGCGCTCAGGTAACACAGGACCATAGACGCCATGTTGAAGTTCTGACTCACCATGGCCGTTTCGTAGTCGTCCACCTGAGCGAAGAGGTTCCGGCCGATGTGATACGGCAGCCAGCAGATGATGAAGGCCAGGACCACCACCACTGAGGAGCACACACAGGCCAGTCAATACAGCATAATAGGTTGGATTCAAGAAATAAAAATAATAACCTTTACACCCAGAAGATAAAATACAAAACATAGAAAATACAAAAAAAGACACACACATAAAAATAGAGACATTTCATTAAAAGACCTGATGATAAAAGTGGGTTTTAAGAAGTGATTTTGATTTATATTTATTTATATTTTGGACTTATATTAGAGCCTTTTTACGTGAGAATGCTTGCAGGTAAAAGCGACAAAATATTTTACCGGAAGTGCCTTTTGTTTAAATGGTGACGGTGTTTTTGGGTCTTAAAAACGCAAAAATCTGAAACCACCCTCTAGAGTGGAAAAGTTGAATACGCTCCGCCGTAGCGTTTCCGTCTACACTGCCCAAGACGCAAAACTCTGGTCAGATCTGCTCACATTTATGTCACATACATCATCACCTAGTGGCACCACCGAGCCGCCTGGCATGCATGCATACCCAAGACCGTCATCATATAAATGTAGCCTTAACTCACCCCTAGTGATTTAAAAGATGGTACTGATTGATTAAGAATTGCATTTTATCAAAACTTCCACGTAAGAATTCCAAATTTCTAGAAGTTGAAGCAGATTTCAGCAGGATTAGATCTACATTTAACTGTATTTATTTAGTTTTTTTGGTTTTTTTTTACGCTTTATAATAATCTAACCTAATTCTAATCTAATCTAATTTTGAGTACGAACCATGAATCATTCTTATTAAAATATTTGTTCACTATGATTTAAGTCTTTGTCATAGATAATACTCCCTACAACTGTACAACAACTCACCCTTATGTAACAGATAATACTCCCTACAACTGTATAACAACTCACCTTTATGTAACAGATAATACTCCCTACAACTGTACAACTCACCCTTATGTAACAAGATAATACTCCCTACAACTGTACAACAACTCACCTTTATGTAATAGATAAATTTTAATCTGATTTTCACTACTTTTGACAATCCTAGAGGGCAATCTAATTTAAAATCTCTCATTTCTTGCCAAAACCTCACAAATCCTGCGCCCTGACTCTGATACGTAACAGTTGCTTCATCCTGGTGGTTCATAATGGGGCTGTGATTAAGAGAATGAGTGTAAGACGAGAGCTATGGCTTATGATCAGCTTTGACATTTATTAACGCATGTTCTGAAAAGGCAGCCCACTCACAGATGTAAACACACTGACTCTTCCATTCACTGCACGCATGACTCATCCTTATCCACATTAACACTATTTCAGAAGGTGAATATTGTTTTATTCTTGAGACCGTTTAATAAGAGCAGTGATTTTTAAGTTTAAAATGAAAAGTACACAAGGTTATCTGGGGTACTGATATCGGTAATGAGACAAACTAAACAGATATTATCACTGCCCGTTTCTGTAATTACACAGGTCATGTCAGTTTTTATTGCAAAATACATATGGCCTACAAAAAAACAAACACTGTTACTAATTAATGCTAAAACGTGTATCAAAACAAGTGCTAGAGCTTCTAGAGCACACATGTCAAACTCAGGATATAATTATATTTGGACCGCGAGATCATATCAAATATGTATTAGACCTGCCCGCCGGCTACAGATCGGCTATAGAGACATTATTTATTTAAAATGTTGTTATTATTTTATATTATACTTTCTCTGGATTCAAAGTTTAAGCAAAACTATTATTAAACATTTATTTTAATAAGAAAAGTTTAACATTACATATCTCGAAAGAAGAGAAAACATGAGCAGATGTTGCTGAAACGACTTAGTACCAGATTTTAATTTTGGCGCTCTGTGAATTTGAGATTGACACCCCTGTTCTAGAGCTCGTGCTAATAATGAAAAAATATTAAATTCCAAAATGTTTTAGAACAGCCTATATCTACTGTATATTAGAACTAGTTTAAGACACATTATTACGTAACATACAACTATTACATTCAGTTGTTTAATATGAAAAAGAGTTTCTTCTTTATCACCAGGCATTCCTTTTCCTTTATATCAAAAATGCAGAATATTTGTATTGTGACAACATTAACTTACAGACAGATTTGATGGAGAAAACATATCTAGTGCTGATGACGGTAATGGGTAAAAGACAGACATATAGAGCTGTACACATGGAAATAGTCATTACTGAATGCAGGCGGCTGATGGCAATCCAATTTGGGATTCTCCAAATACACACAACGCCCAACTGTGCTCAGCTAACAAGCTGCATTAACATGATCACGTACGGTTTATGATTATGTGTTTGGATCATTCACATCTGGTTTATTGTAATACAAGGTCTGCAGCTCTGTACGCCACAAGTGTGCCTGGAAGTGGGACATCGTTTGCGTCATTGCAACAATCAGGAACATGTCTGTTTAAAAATCTAATATAATCTAGAATGGATTCTGTCCAATCTTCCCAATCATTAATATCAGATTTAAAATCAGAATTGATCAAATATTGCTCATACCAAAGATTTTAAACTATGTACCTTCCATAATCATAACCTGACTGTATTATGTTTCCACGCCTGTTTGATACAAAACCCTAGTCAGGCTGGTGCCACATTGTGTCTCTGCTCAATTTAATTTCTCTCCAGTGACTGGGTCAGGAATCGGAATACACTAGAAGGTTTCTGAGAACCACAGAAGTGCAAGTCTGGGCACCAGCCAATCAGTGAAAAGCCATACATTCTGTGTTGGCTAGGATTCCCGAGATCCAGGATTTAAAGCCGAAACAAAAAGAATGTTTGGTGAATTTCATCAAGGGTAAAAATGTTATTGTCCTTCTTCCTACGGGATTTGGGAAAGGCTTAATATACCAGTTAGCCCTGTTAGCGGCGCATTACATACGTCACAACCAAATAGCAACAATTAAATTTATAAAAAAAGTACCTGCCTACCATTGAGGGAACGAATATTAATGCTGCAAGGAATTGAAATCGAAATGAAATCGTCTGATGAATCAGGCTACCAAAACCCCAGACACAAACAAATATTCATTCTCTTGGATTCTGGAAAGAAACTGAACCGGGGCACCTACACATGCTGCTGCCGAAATTCAACCCAAACTTGGTTTGAGGTAAAGTACTACAAACCATCTGAGCATTCTGACTTTGTGTTTATTGACTGCTGACGAGGCTGTTTGCTGTATCTACCACTTTTCTCTTAAGCAACACCAGGACATATCGGTATTATCGGTATAACAATGATATAATGAAATAGTCAACCTGATTTAATCGATATTGCACCTAAGATCTATCACCATCTAATCACATATTTATATCAGATACTTTCAACTCTGGCAGCATTTTCTAAAGCTTTAAAACAGTGGTTTTAAACCATGTTTAACCAAATTACATTTTCTTTTATATTGAGGGGTTGTTGGTTTAACTCTTGGTTTAACTCTTAAATTCTTGACTTTTAACTTCAAATGAACTGTTTGAAATTAATTTGTGTGTATAGTGAGTGTGTTGTGTGTACAGTGAGTGTGCTGGTTTTATGTACTTTTGTGTGATTGTTGATTTATATCAACCTGCCGAGGGACTGAAGATGGAAATGAGCCATGCTGACTTTAATCTTTACATATTTACATTTTTAATGTTCATTAATATGTGGTGCCCCTTTACAAAATAAATAAGAAAATAAGAAATAAGATGTAAAACCACTACAGGCTGAATTATACTAAGGCTGAAAATAATGAAAATCTGTGTTCATTTTATACAAATAAACAACAAAATTTATAAATTATATATCGTTATAGTCAAGGCAGTAGACACGGGGGAATAAAGGGGTCTGTTGTCCAGGGCTCCAGGGTTTTAGGGGCCCAGAATTGGACCTTCTTCCTATTAATTAATATTAAAGAGGGGCCCATGTGAGACTTCTTGCCCCAGGCCCTCAAATTCCTGTCGATGGGCCTGATTACATAACTCATAACTATAACCAGGTCCGTCAACAGAAATTTGGGTGCCCGGGGCATGAAGCCTCACATGAGCCCCCCTTTTCATATAAATCAATAAGAAAAGGGTCCAATTCTGGGCCCCTAAACCCTGGGGCCCTGGACAACAGATCGCTTTGTTCCCCCACGTCTACTGTAAATACAACAAATGTAAATAAAATGCCGCTAACCCACTGACCTAGGATCTTGACGGTCTGCCTGTGGGACCTCTCTCGGGCCAGAGCACAGGGGCCCTGCATGTCGCTCTTGCTCTTCCACAGTTTGCAGCCGATGGAGCCGTAGAGGAAGATGAGGCAGAGCATGGGGCAGAAGAAGTACGTGGTGGACACCCAGAGCATGATGTGCAGCTGTCCCGAGCTGATGGCGTAGCTCGTGTGCTTACACTGCCCCGTATCGAAGTCTGGGTGCGTCTCGTTCTCGTACTCCACCCCGACCAGGAAGAGTGTGGGAGCGGCGGACACCAGCGCAAACCCCCACAAGGCCAGGATGATGTACTGCACCCTCCTCCGAGTCACCACCACTTTGCTCTAAAAGTACACACGACAAAGTTAGATTACTCATTTTACTAAAACACACTTAAAGTGGCACTGTGTAACTTTTCTGGTGGAGCTTCCATCACCTTCTTTTCTCCATGGAGATGTTGTTGCTTTGTCAGAAATGTTTCACAGTGTGGCTTTAAATGTTTTTATCATCATGGAAACCACACCAGACGAAGATACAGGTCAGATCTGTGGAGAGGCGAACCCGCTCACAATCAGATAGTCTGTTTTTCTACGTATTTTTGATCTATAAAACCACCTGTGATTGAATAAATGTAAAGTAGAGCTGTTTAATGTCATAATGTGGAATATTTTAAGCAGAGCAATGACATATCCATAGAAACAAGCAGGTGACGGACCCCGGACCCATTACTATGCCGCCCGTTACTCACCCATGCCTGTCATAAATCACACACAAATTAAAAACATTCTAACTGAAGCATCCATCAGATTATGCATTGAAACGTTACAAATTCAAGAATTACAATCACGAAATAAAATGAAACGGTTACGCTTTCTTCAGTACGAATACAAATCACAGATGCGACACGACTCACATCACTTCACAGTCATTATTTACTGAGCAGAAGAAACATTGATTGAGATGCCGTACACGCCACGGACTGAACCAAGGCTAACCTGGAACTGATTCCAGGACTGAACCAGGAGGACTAAACCAGGATTAAACCAGGACTAAAACAGAACTGAACCAGGACTTACTGTTGGGATGAAGACTGTTGGGTGACCGCGGGCGAAAGGATCACACAGAGCTCTGTGCCAAATGGAGGTAAGACCAGCCGTCGCCCAATCATGCTTTGTGGAACACCCTGCTCCATGGGCTCAAAGTTCTCTCTCTCTTAATTCTAAGATTAGTCCTGGTTTAGACCTGGTTTAGACCTGGTTTAGACCTGGTTTAGTCCTGGTGTAGTCCTGGTTTAGATCTGGTTTAGACCTGGTTTAGACCTGGTTTAGACCTGGTTTAGCCCTGGATTAGTCCTGGATTAGTCCTGGTTTAGACCTGGTTTAGACCTGGTTTAGATTCTGGTTTAGTCCTGGTTTAGACCTGGTTTAGACCTGGTTTAGTCCTGGTGTAGTCCTGGTATAGTCTTGGTTTAGTCCTGGTTTAGACCTGATTTAGTCCTGATTTAGACCTGATTTAGTCCTGGTTTAGTCCTGGTGTAGTCCTTGTTTGGTCCTGGTGTAGTCCTGGTTTAGATCTGGTTTAGATCTGGTTTAGACCTGGTTTAGACCTGGTTTAGACCTGGTTTAGTCCTGGTTTAGTCCTGGATTAGTCCTGGATTAGTCCTGGTTTAGACCTGTGTTAGACCTGGTTTAGTCCCGGTGTAGTCCTGGTATAGTCCTGGTTTAATCCTGGTTTAGTCCTGGTTTAGACCTGGTTTAGACCTGGTTTAGACCTGGTTCAGTCCTGGTTTAGTCCTGGTGTAGTCCTGGTATAGTCCTGGTTTAGTCATGGTTTAAACCTGGTTTAGTCCTGGTTTAGACCTGGTTTAGACCTGGTTTAGACCTGGTTCAGTCCTGATTTAGTCCTGGTATTGTCCTGGTTTAGACCTGATTTAGTCCTGGTTTAGACCTGGTTTAGTCCTGGTTTAGACCTGATTTAGTCCTGGTTTAGACCTGGTATAGTCCTGGTTTACTTCTGGTATAGTCCTGGTATAGTCCTGGTTTAGTCCTGGTTTAGTCCTGGTATAGTCCTGGTTTAACCCTGGTTTAGTCCTGGTTTAGACCTGGTGTAGTTCTGGTTTTGTCCTGGTTTAGTACTGATTTAGCCCTGACCCAGTTCACTATCCGCCCGCATACCCGGCCGTAAAATTCCAAAATGTTAAATCCTGCCCGTTTCACCAACTTTATACCCTGGTGCAGGACTCTGATCGAGATATGTATCGTATCGTGGCCTTTGTATCGAGATATGTATCGTATCGGCAACTTCTTAATGATGTCCAGCTCTCGACATCACGAGGTGGAACAGCGGGTTTTTGAGGTATTATCCCGCCAAATTAAATCAAAAAAAGAAAATCAAATCAAAACGTGTCATACTCACTTTAAAGGGGAAGCTGATGGCCAGGTAGCGCTCGATGCTCAGAGCCGTGATGTGCAGAATCGTGGCCGACGTACACCCCTCGAAGATGTAGTGGTAGAACTTGCACACGGCCTCCCCGAACAACCACGGCACGTACTTCCAGAGCCGGTAGAGGTCAAAGGGCAAGCAGAGGAAGATGATGAGGTCAGACACCGCCATGCTGGACAGGTACAGGTTGGTGGTGGTCTTCATGTCCTTGGAGTGCTGGATGATGAGGATGGTCATGGTGTTCCCGGTGACGCCCACGATGAAGATGAGCATGCAGATGACGGTGACGGGGATGAGGGTGGACGTGGGGAACAGCGAGCCCTCGTAGTGGTGGTCGTCCCAGGTGTACTGCTCCATGCTGGGGGACTCCACTTCGGGATGACGCCAGGGCATGACAGGTGAGCTACGAGAGACGAGGTTTTAAATCACAATTATTGACCCCGTGTACTAATTAAATGACCCATATTCAGTGTTGGGAAGGTTACTTTTAAAATGTATTCCCCTACAGATTACAGACTACATACCCCAAAATGTAGTTTGTAACGTAATCCATTAAATGACTTAAAGTGAGTAACGTAATCTGAATACTTTGGATTTGGATTACTTGATTTGCTGTAGAGAAGCAAAGACTAGGACACTTAACCGTATTAAAAATATTATTAATAGAAGAGGAGGAGACATGTCCGCGCAGCATCGTTTAGTCCTGTTAAATCTTGTTTTAGTCCTGGTTTAGTCCTGGTTTAGATCTGGTTTAGATCTGGTTTAGATGTGGTTTAGACCTGGTTTAGACCTGGTTTTAGTCCTGGTTTAGATCTGGTTTAGATCTGGTTTAGACCTGGTTTTAGTCCTGGTTTAGTCCTGGTTTAGACCTGGTTTAGATCTGGTTTAGATCTGGTTTAGATCTGGTTTAGACCTGGTTTTAGTCCTGGTTTAGTCCTGGTTTAGACCTGGTTTTAGTCCTGGTTTAGATCTAGTTTAGATCTGGTTTAGACCTGGTTTTAGTCCTGGTTTAGATCTAGTTTAGACCTGGTTTAGACCTGGTTTTAGTCCTGGTTTAGTCCTGGTTTAGACCTGGTTTAGTCCTGGTTTAGTTTCCAACAATGAGTGGAGTTACCGAAAAATAAATAAATAAAAATAAATAAAAATAATGCGAAAACAGGAAAGTACCGCTGTGTAATCCATTTATTTCAACAAAGTGACTGTAATCCAATTACCACTCACTGAAACAGTAACTGTAACTGAACACAGTTACTCATAATTTGTACTCTGATTACGTAACTCCAGTACATGTAATCTGTTACTCCCCAACACTGCCCATATTACACTGTTTTCCTGTTTCGTCATCACAAACAGACCTGGAGTTGTGTTTTGTTTCATTTATACATGTTTATGTTCATACATCCTGCATATTTATAGCCACGCTGGCGTCACCTAGTGCCTCCGCTCCATTTAATTTCTCTCCAGGGGCTAGATCAGGAATCGGAAAACACTAGACGGTTTACTACATGACATCACAAGTTAGAACAGAGCATTTTAAGTATTGAAGATGTAGACACATTAAAAATAAAGGTGTTAATGAAACAAAACACAGCTCCAGGTTTGTTTTTGAAGATGTAACAACATTATAACATGACTTAAAGCTCACAAGAGTCAATTTTTTAATGAATTTGTTTTTTTATTTGTTTATTTATTTCATTTGTAAATGAAAAGGAGCAGAAAGAAGAGTCATATTATGTTATCTGCCTCCTTTTCAACACCGATAGTCACTTTAAAACATTTCAAATCAGTACATTTCAGTTCAGGCACAATTATTAATCAGTCGTAACCAGAAATCTTTACTATTATGCACAACAACCTAGTTTCCTTTTTCATACATACACATTGGGGAGGGATTGGAAATGTAAAAGATTTGTTTCATCCATACCTTTCTCAAACTGTGCATGGTTGTAACTGCATTTGTATTGTTATGTTGCGAATTGTATGTGCAAGTTTGAAATAAATAACTAACTAATTAACTAATTAACTAACATTGCACTTGATTTAACTCCTCGATAACTCCTTTCACAGCGATGCTTCGCTCCATAACCTTGGCTCTGAATCTGGGTTTTTTAAACATGTAGGTTCCTTTTAAATTGTAGTGGTTTGCTCTCATCTGAAACAGTCTTTGAATATTTACAGGTAAAACATTGCACTTTGCTTTATGCATGACTTTGAGGAGACTTAAATCAACAATATCATGCATTTCCAACACTTCAAGGTGAACAAATAATGGGTTGGATGGCTCTCTACAATTTTGTGTAATATAAGACTTGACGAGATTATTTGCATAAAAAATATTATTTAAAGTGTAAAGCGTAAAGCTGTAAAGCATCTTTGAGTGTCCAGAAAAGCGCTATATAAAACTGATGCATTATTATTATTATATATTGTCGAAATAGGGAAATTTGTCCTCTGCTTTTGACCCATCCTCCACTGCTGCCCGGGTAACGTGTCACGAGCAGGGGACCCATCTCCAGATCTTGAGCTAGACATGATCGGGGACTACCTTGGCTGGAGGATTTGAGTAATTGTGTGTGTTTTGGGTTGATGGGGAAACAGCGATGCCTGAAAGAAACCTGCAAACTTCACAAAGAAAGGTCCAGCCAGTATCGAAAGTGTTTATTAAATGGCCTGTATTACGCAAAATTGCCTCTAGTGAGCTTTAAGGCAACAAAAATATACCTAGAGATGTGTTTTTTGTTTCATTCACGTATGAGTAACACTTTATTATCAGTCTGTCTACAGTTCCAAAGCTCAAAATGTTCTACTTTGTGATGTAGTTCTCAAGTTAACAGCTACATTTTTACCTTTTGTTCAGTAGAGACAGAAAATCCCAGAGCTGAAATCATCCAGATGATTCAGTTGAAGGTGTACGGAGTTTAAAAATACAGCGGAGGACTTCCTTTATTATCAAATGTCTTCATGTTTCCCATCTGAGAGAAGAACTCAGCCTAAATATGCAGGATTTGTGTGTTAAACATGAGTGAATGAAACAAAACACAACTCCATTTACGTTTTTGATGAGGAAACATTATAACATAGATCAGAAAATAGGGTAACATGAGTATTTAAAGTATAGTATATTGTTTTTGAATCACTGACGACATATTAATGGTGGCTCTAGTCATTATCAAATCTACACGCTACTTAAATAAAACATTCATTTTATCACAGCGGCTAATCTTGAGCGAGTTATATTTAAGTGAGTTCACATGGTTACACCTTTAGCAACACCAATACAAGATCGATACTTTTCCTCCAGCACCGAAACTTCACATCTTTGGGATTTTAAATAGAACTTGTGAACAGTTTTCTTATAGATGGACGAAACCTCAGTCAATTCTTTAAATTCTGTACATTTGTTTTGATTGAATTTACAAAGAGTAAAGAAAAAAAGACTCAAAGCAGTCTGGAAATCAAACAGAAGCTGTCTGATATCTCTCAAAATTTCAAAATGTGCCTTAAATTGTTCTTATTTGAGCAAAAATTACAACTTATTTAGCGTTACAGATGAAAAATTGACATGATATGATATAATAGGCGGTTAAAATGTCTTTACACATAAGCAAAAATAATAAAACTGGGTTACGTATATGACACTGAATTGCAAAAAGCCTCAAAAAATCAGGTAACAGGTCATTTTAAAGAGCTACTTTAGGTTAAATAACTGGCATGCATTTCAGGATTGCCAATTAACTTTACTAACAGCTTAAATTGACATGTCAGAAATTAATTTTGGAATCTAAACCTATTAAAATACAAAATTAAACATGAGTTTTATCTTTACTTTGTCAGGGATCCAGATGTCCACCGTCGTAGTTCCAGTGAGCCCCAAAGTCTCCAGATGGTCCGGATTAGTCCCTGGTCCAAAAGACAGTCCAGCTCTGGTGAGAGGAGAAAGAAGAGCAGAGCACCTCCTCCTCCTTCTGAGCAGCACCCAAAGGAGTCAACAGGCGGGTGGGGGTCTGTGTGTGTGTGTGTGTGTGTGTGTGTACGCAAAGCATCCCCATAATCAAATAATGACAGCCCAGGCAGCATTAAAACACAGAGTAGAGAGGTTTCACCCATTGTTCTTTTCAGAGAGTAAATACTGCTGCAAATCTGGGACTAAATGTGTTTAAAGCTTGGTAACTGATATAAATATAAATACTAGTACGTCCACAAAACTATTCAAGCCAATTCATTTATATTGTACATTTCATAAACAAAAAAATCTGTGAATTGCACATGTAAAAAACTAAATAAAATTATAGTTTGCAGCCGTACCAACATGAGAATGCTCGATCTCATCTCATATTGTCTTGTCTGTTGTACTTTAACACAAAACCGAACCTGTCAAGCCACAAAAATTAATCACGCTGTGGAGATTTTTTCACAGTAAACACATATTGGCGTACATAATATTAACTGCATGTCAATTGTATGAACATATTTACATATACCTATAAATGTGCGCCTTTGTGGAATAATTGAAAATGTGGAAAAAAATAATAAAAATTGAATTGAAAAAATAGTTATGATACAAAAATGTCAAACTTGATTTCGATATTGATCTCAGTACTCAATACTGATTCCAATACTATAATAAAAACACTCTTCAATTAAACAAAAGAATGTAATTTTCAATATTAAATCATAATACTTTCTTTTATATTACCATGTGGTTTTATATCTGTGTAATCCTTCAGTGGTCCATGGGCGTTTACTGGTCTATATGCTCTTATACTTTCATACTAGATCATTCTAAAACTATCAAAACCTGCTCAGATGAATATTTAGTTTCAATACTAGAAGCTTTAGTTATGATTAATATAAGATTTTCCAAACTTTTGACAACCCTAATAGAGAATATCAAATTTAACTCCACTAATCCTCCAGTGAAACCTGCAATAAAACTAGTCAGATTAAATAAAAGAGAATGTATGAATAAATAAAAAGGCAAAACCATTAAAATAAATCAAAGAAGCAAAGGAGACACTCGTTTTCATTTCAGAGAGATTTCATGGCCTGTTAAAAACGCTCTGAAAATCCATCTCTAAATCTCTAAAACCACCTTTCATTAACTTTCTCATTTCTTTTATACAAGTTTTAAGTATTATTATTATTATTATTAGTAGTAGTAGTAGTAGTAGTAGTAGTAGTAGTAGTAGTAGTAGTAGTAGTAGTAGTAGTAGTAGTAGTAGTAGTAGTTATTATTATTAGTAGTACTAAAAGACTCTATTAAAATTTTATCAAACTTAAGGCACTAAATTACATGGAAATTTGGCAAATACTGTAGTTAAATCAGTTTTTCAATCCAGCGCCGTGTTTCCCTTTCAGGTTATTTGCTTGTGTTAAATATTTATTTTGGCTTCCCCGTGTGAATAAATATACTTTCTCTGCTTATCAATTGAACTGTGAACATAATAAATTATAAATAAAACATCAAAACAAGTTGGTACCACTTTATAATAACTGTTTAATTGGTCTTAATAAAGCGTGGCAAAGATATAATAACTAAACCTTGATGCGCATTTAAAGGTGCATTCTGTAACTTTTTGGTTGGGATGTTTCCATGGAGATGTCATTGTTCTGCCTGGAATGTTCCACAGTATGACATTAAACAGATCTACTTTACATTTATTCAATTACAGGTGGTTTTATAGCGCAAAAATATCAACAAAAACAGGCATTGTGACTGTGAGTGGGGTCGCCTCTCCACAGATCTGACCTGTAACTTGGTCTGGTTTGGTCTCCATGAAAATAGAAAGGTTTAATGCCACACTGTGAAACATTCCAGACGAAGCAAAAACATCTCCATGGAGAAAAGATTTTGACAGACCCTCCACCAGAAAAGTTACACAATGCACCTTTAAGGATAATTAAGGCACATCCAGAAGCATGTAGTGTCCTTTTCAGAGTACTTTTCAGCGGCATACTTTTACTCCTACTTGAGTAATATTTTTAACAGTACTCTTACTTGAGTGAAAGTTGTAGTTACTCTCTACAAGTGACAAAAACTTGATGTTGACAGTTCAAATTCAACATTTGTTTCTTGCACGTCTCCTTCAGATATGACATACTACAGAACTACAACTACTATCTACAACCTTTTGTGCATTATTTTATTGCGATTTCAATTCCTTCCAATTAAATCAGATGTTACGTCCTGACTGTTACTCTTTAAGTTACTCTTATTTGAGTAGTTTCTCCAAAATCTTCTATACTCTTACTTGAGTGCTTTCTTGGACTTTGTACTTCTATATTATTTTGACATTACTCTTACTTATGTACATGTTTTGGCTGCTCTAATTACTGACCTCTGGGTGTAGTTACTGTTACAATCGAATACTTTTCATTAGGGATGTAACAATAATCAAAATATCGTGATCATGATCATGAAAAGTCTCACAATAATATCGTGGGCTGTTACAATATATCGAATCACAAGTTCCTTTAGTTAAATGCATTGTTAGAAGCAACAGCTTATAAACATCGGCAACTACGTATCCCATGATTCATTTCAGTGCAGACAACATAAAGAAACATGTTTTTGACTTGAATTTTTGGGATTGTGACGTAATGATTCAGAACGAAGCAATAAATAATCTCTATACAATTCTATTAGCTGCTCCAAAATATCGCAATAAATATCGTACCGTGAGACGCATATCGTGATAATGTCGTACTGAGAGATTTGGATATTGTTACATCCCTACTTTTCATACTTTACCATATGACTCACATGGCTTTTCCTTACAAATTATGATTATATTTCTTCCCCAAAGTTCTGCTTTTACAATCCACTTAAAGGCAAAGAGAAAAAAACAGCAAAAGGGAAAGGAGAAAAACAAAAAGTGACTCATTTATAAGAAAGTAAGTTGGGTACTTCAGCTCTAAATGGAGTTGAGTGCCTGAGATTCAAGAGCGGGATCACACCTTCCCCTCCTCCTGCTCCTCTCCAGCGAACAACATTACCCAGAAACCCTATTTATACAGGTCTATCAAGAAAACACCGTCTGTTTCTGCTCTCTCTCAACCCCCTCCATCCCAACCTGTGTCTTCTGTTCATCTTTCAGCCTGAAGACATCATGTACAAAGGAGGGGGAGTTCTGAATACATGCATCACAAATTTCGGACTTCCGGTCATCGCGCGATGCATACTGGGAAGGATTCTCCGAAAAAGTGAGCATCAAACTGCCATGTTTGATTTCCCAGTGGGATGCGTCTGTTGTCAAAGCCGATCTCTTCGAGTCTTTTGAACCATATCACTTTTGTTTCTGGTTCTGTTATTGTTATATTTTAGTTTTGGGATTTGGACATCGTTAATTGTGTGGTTGTTGGATGTCCTAACAGCGGAAAATGGCTCGAGGAATGGGCTTCGGAAGTTTGCAAACTCCATAAATGTAAAAGGAATCAGATTTGTGTGACTGTGACTCTGTTCAAACTGTTTCCCTTCCCAAAGGAGTTGAAAAATAGTGAAAGGTGAAGGCGATGGGCAGGACTGATAAACAGGAAAGACGAAAAAGATAACCTTTGACTGCCTAAATCATCCCGAGTTTGCAGTGAACATTTTGTATGTGGAGCACCAACAAAGCAAAATCCCGATCCCTCGTTCAACCTTGGTTATGAATTTAAAAAGTCAACGGCAAAGTGAAAGGCACCAGCTGTTCGCCAAGAAACAACTTCCACTGCAAAGCGACCAAGAGGTGATCTTGCTGTAAAGTTAAACAAGAAAGTCCTCGCTCAGTCTGTTTGTCTTCTATACCTCTCGCCTAACAAACGTGATTTTGATTTGCTGGCGCTCCACATACAAAATGTTTGCTGTAAACTCAGGATGATTTCTTAGGCAGACAAAGGTTTCCTTTTTGGTCCTTCATGTGGATCAATCCTGCCCATCGCCTTCACCTTTCACTGTTTTTCTATTCCATTGAGAAGGGAAACAGTTTGAACGGAGGTTTGCAGTCACAAACATCTGATTCCCTTTTACATTTATGGAGTTCGCAAAACTTCCGAAGCCCGTTTTCTGCTGTTACGACATCCAACAACCACACAATTACGATGTCCGAATCCTAAAACTAAAATATGACAATATCAGAACCAGAAACCAAAGCGATATGGTTCAAAAGACTTGAAGAGATCGGCTTTGACAGTAGAAATCATCAACATGACGGTTTGATGCTCACTTTTTCGGAAAATCCTTCCCAGTGTGCATTGTGCGATGACCGGAAGTCCGAAATTCGTGATGCTTGTATTGGTTGACCACCTGAGACAGAGCCCCCATCCTGAGTCTCCCTCCGGCCATCACATCTATCATCATCAATAAATATCTTTATCATAGACCATCGCTGTGACCTGGTCGTACTTTGTGTTGTGTAAGTTTCCACAGTTGTCTCCCTCACACAGGAGGTCTGGAGCAGGTCTAACCTCCGACCAGTCTGTCCTGTTCCCATCCGAGCTGTCCGTATGAAGTGAAGCGTGCACAGTGAGTATCAGTGTTTACCTGCCACAACGACAGGACCGCTCAGACCTGTTTCGCTCTGTCCCCCTCGTCTCCTTCTCTTCCCCCTCTGTCCTTGTTTTGAAGACTGTCCAGTCCAGTCACGAGCCGAATCAGGAGACAAACTGACCTAAACCGGTGAGATCACTTTCACATCGTTAATGACTCCACATTCAAATGTCACTATGAGGACCAAAGCATCCAGGGACATTATCCTCCTCGTGACTGAGACTTTTGCTCATTATAAGAACATTAACTCCTGCACATGAGCTGAAAGGTGCTGATTTTAAACTAATTTTATCTTGACAACTGTGAATGAAATTTGGCACAGCAATTCACTCTTTTATGATTGGAGTTGTAGGTCTAATTAGTCTTTGTATCCTTTTTAATTAAGTTCAGTATGAGTATTTTTTTCTTCAAACCTCAGGCGTTGTC